CCCCGGTCAGTCCGGTGGTCTCGCTTTTTGGTCTGCGCTATCCCAGAGGAACGGTTGACCAGTGAAACGATCCCTACAATCCTACGGAGAATTACTTGGAGTGCAAACCATGCTTACTTTGGTTATTTTCCGAGAACTGATCACTTGGGTCAAGATCTCTCAGGCAGTGCAAAGGAACGGGGCGGCAAAGCGTTGACATCACAGAACCTGAAGTTTCAAGTGACAGAATTACGCGGAGACTGGGTTTTCCATAAAAAAATATGGAACTTCACATGTCACTGGAATGGTGAGCAAGTTTGCCACCAGTGCAGTGCCAAGGGGAGGAGAGGCGCATGGCCAGAGATGTATTGGAACATCGAGAACAACAGTCATGAGGAGTTTTCTCTACGTCAGTTTTTGGCTTGGAGGATGCCGGCGCGTCGCATTTGAAGCTAGGAGAAACTTTATACTTGGTAAGAGTGGTTGTTTCGAATGCCACTTACTCACATTTTTTGGGTGGGTTCTGTCCTAGTAATGTTGACTAGTACATGTCATGTCATCAAACTTGCAATTTATGGATATCTATGCAATATATGCATGCATACAACTGTAGTAAGATGCTTCAACATCCTCGATAAAATGCATGCACATCCCTAGCACTTATGAATATTATCAATACAAAAGCAATTAGGATTGATGCTCTCTCAATATATATTGTAGATTGATTATAAATGTGGTTGATTTAGACCTGGGCCAAAGCCTGAGCCTTGATAAGGCCCACTCATTGGTCTTTGCCAGTTCCATCCATCGATCATTCGCTGGTGCTTGATGCACGTTTTGCACTTGGGTCTCCTCTATACATGTAACGGAGGGACAATGCCCCTTGGCAGTTCGTTAGGAAGGATCTAAATTTGCCGGCTTGAACATCAACTTCTATGGAAAAGATTAAAGCGTGTGCTTGCCTGATGTCCCACTTCAAGCCTTAATTCATTGCGCCCATGGGCCCAGGCATGTCTTGCTTTCGGCTGGGATTTGGGGGCGCATGGATGAGTCTGTGCAAACTCGGCTGCATCGGGCGTACTTGGCCTTCAAAGCCTGGTGCACAGTCCACAAAATTGCGTGCAGTCAGCCTGCGTTTCAGGAGAAACAAGTCACTTGGACTGATTTTTTACAACCGCTACATTGCCTGCGCACATGTTTGATGCAAATATTTTTTAATTAATATATGGCGCACTAGTGTTTGAACGAGCCATATGGGCCATGGGAGATAACAATTTCATGGCGATTGAGCTGAGTTGTACCAACGCAATGGTGATGTGGCATTAGTATGCAAAGCGTACAATGGGCGCATTGTTGCACAGTGGTTGGCAGACACGGCAGCTGAAGTCGCGCAGCAAAACCTTCCTGGTGTGGATGATCGCTTGGCGCCAATTGCCCTGTGCATGTTCCTTGTTCAATATTTGCTCATGTGTGTCGAGCATGTCCATGCATGCATGTGCATGCATGCATGCATGTGCACATGTATAGGATCATGCTTCCGGTGTGTAATCTGCCCCCAATATTGTTCGAACCGTTGAACCCTGATCAACAACGTGTCTTGCAACACAGCTTCCCTGCCATTGGCCGGTGTTGCCAGCTCTGCTTGGCAGTCCATCCAGGGTCCCGAGCTTGAGCTCTCATGAGGCTCCACTTGGCCGGCTTCATGCTCGACATCGAGAAAGCCGGTAGATTTTTGAGCCGTGGATTTGAATTATTACGCTATATATTATAAGTTGATTGATGTACGTACTGTACATGAGTTACACATGCATGCATGTGCTTGCATGTGCTTGCATCATGCATGTGCACTTCTTTCATCTTCTTGATTTAAGTCGATCTACTTTGTATTATATGTGGCTTGGATAACAACTACCCAGGACCCAAGCAGAGTCTACGTCCATTTTCCGTCATGGACGTGAATTCATCCGCCTCTATTTGAGATTGGCATATGTGTCTGTGAGGAGACTGGGGCCCCGGGGGGGTTGATTCTTGACCGAACGCTCTGCAACTTTGATCTAAATAATGCATGCTGCAAACTTCAAACGTATTTGGGATATTCGGTACCTATATTTTGAGCAGCAAATGCATGCATGTGAGCTTGATCGATGTGCAAGTGACGGCCGCTGTTGCAGGAGAGGCCTCCAAGAGTGGTTCGTGAAACCGAAAATTCATGTGGCTTGGTCGGTAGTTGCAGGGGACAGACAGTGGTTGGGTGCAAACAAGAAACTTGTTTAACAACGCTGCTAATCTTGATCGAGAAGAGGTTCTTCCGCAATGAAAATTTGCTAGCTTAGGCTCTGTGGCACATCTTAAAGTCTGTCCGAGACCGACGCACCTTGGTGACACAACCCTTCTATGGTCAGTCACGTGCACAGTGCTCTGCAGATCTGTGCATGTATCATGCATGCATGTGTGTGAGCTCGATGCCCTTGCAAGCAGTCTTTGGTAATGCAGGTCATGCGTGAGTGTTCAAGTGTACGCTAGTGCAGCCCTCATACGCATGTCCGTGCAAGCGTGCTAGGAAGCAACCCACGTTTCTGGCATTGCTTTGTGGATGAGGATGCAATGTCATGGGCAAAAAGTATTTTGGCATAATTTTGGCATCGTTTTAATGTGTCATGTCATGGATCAATGCGCACTAGCAGGTGTGATGTCCAAAAGCATAGTAGATTTTGTTTTGATCGATCCATATCATGAGGTACGTTTCTGAAAGCCCACCCCACACGTCGCGCGATGTGGGTAACAAAGTGTGGTCGTTTGCGGTGGCTTGACGTTATTAAACTGTGCAGGGGCACCTTTCGAGTGTGCATGCATGCATGCATGCATGATCAATGCATGTGTTCTTTTGGAGTTTGTGACTTTTAAGAGCAACACCCAGAACTGTATAATGATCTTGTACTTTCTCAGCCTTCTCAGGATATGGGCAACCAAGCTGAAAGTTGGGCAGATGCTTGGTTTGCCAAGAGTTCTTCATTGATTGTTCCATGAATCTTGTGTGTGCATGCATGCGCACGCATATATTATCTGTACAAGTTTGCTCTTCCATGGGGCCAGAACTTGTAAACACTCATTGGAACCTAGTTAAGTTTTCACGCATCCATGATCCATGTACTCGACTCGAAACATGTACACTGAACCATCGATCTCAGGATGAATCGAGAAGTGAAGAAAAGACTTGCTGTGGGCCGCGGGTAGCAAAATGATGTGTCTAGAACATCGCTGCCGATTTGGAGCTTGAAACGATCTTGGGAAACCTCGGGGCGTGAAACCTTCGACTATTTTGGAAACCGTTGTTCTCGGAACGTCTATTGTTTAAACCGGCTTTTGAACCCTAGGGTATGCATATGTAGGCACATGATTCAGCTTTCAGACTCCATCCACTGTTTTCTTATGGCAGGGGGGCATGTCACATAGTGGAATATATTTTGCAGATTAATTAGACCGTAGAATATTTATTTAAATAACCAGAAAGGGGGTCTCTTTATGTTGAGACTCAAATGGAATAATTTCATGTCAACTAACCCTGGAATAATTTACATGATCGAAGCTACTATCGAAGCTTTTCGAGCCTGTCTTGGATCTGTTCCACGATTTGAGCCTAATGACAGAACATATTCCTGCATCAGGTGCACATCCTGAATGAATAACATGTATGTATGTCCAAGGCTAGTGGAATAATTACTAATTATTCCTAGGTATGTGGACGTAGGGGGGGGTCTAAGGTAGGGGTCATGTTTTCTTCAAACTAAAGCGCGTCACTCCCACAGCTGTGCCCCAAGAGATGCTGTTTGATCTATGATGACCTATTTTTATTAATAGAACCCATTTGACCTTTGTTTTGATATGAACTTACAGCGTTTCAACCCACTCATGTCAAAGGTTTACACAACATTTAATAGTGACGGACAAGCACTTAGAGCATTGAATAAAAACGAGCTTGTTTTGCTCTTAAGTGATGGGGGTTCCAGCTCTGTTTTAGATGTTCTAAGCGTCCGGTTGTTTTTGGTTTGTCACTGACTTGCAGCTGCCTTGCTTCGTGAAAACACGGGGTGGGAGGGGGTGGGGGGTCAATGACGTCGATTTTCTTTCGTTCACTTGAAGATAACTTCATACTTTGTTTACTTTAGGATAACGTTGCACTTCGTTCACCTAAGATAGCTTCATAGTTCATTCATTGCATTGTGCAGGATTTTGGTTCAACAATGGTTTGAAGCCTACACCCAGGTCGTCGAAGATGGGTGGAACACAACTGGCTGACAGCTCATGGAAGAGCTTGAAAGCTTGGATACCCCCCAAGCACGTGAATACAACCAGTTCAATCGTTCGGGCTGTCAATCCGAAACTCTTGAACTATTGTTCGGAGTTGGCAGTTTCGCTATCACCACAGAGTGGATGATATCCCCCCTGCCATTGCAAAAGCGATGAGAAGCTGCTCGAAGTGAGCAGGAAAAGGCAGTGCCGAAACGCCTAAACATCAAGAACTTTTCCGAAAATGCTGCTTCGCCTGCAAAATCGAATGCATGTTGCCAAAATAACTTTTAAAGCTGAAAAACGAATGACAAGCAAGAACGATGACCCTCCTGAGACTTTGCGCAACACAGCCGTGCAAATTAGCGCGACGCCTGAGGGGCGTCCATCCCTTGTTTTTCTCACCGACTTGTTCTAAGTGACTGTCCGTCACTATAATGTGCCACACATGTGGCACAGTATGTGGCACTACTGTAGCAACGTTCAAGCTTAGTGCCACGTCTTCCTACATTACTATATACTAGACATATAATAGCACTTGCCCCCTGCTTTAGAGTTGAGAAAGTGTGCCAATAGAAAAGCAAGTCAACCAAAGTTGGACAAACATCTGAATGCGGAAGATATATAAATAGTTTGTAAAACTTGTTCAGTGCAAAGCTGCCATTAGTAGCTGGTTCTCATATGATTTGACCAGCACCCACACGCGCCCACACGCCGACGCAACATTCTTGCAGGTGCGTTTGACGCCGGTGGAGGACGGTTGGATTCGAGAAGGTCGCATCTACGACATTTTCCTAAAGGACCGGTCTTGGAAGACTGCATTTTGTCACTTTGCCATCCTGCAAGGTGAACAGAATGACATAGTCAGACCATGTCAGACCACAGGTTTAAGTCCTTCCATGCCACGACCCACATTCACACACCCCACATTGAACATCCATCCAAAGCATTTGATCCTTTTTGGAGGGGTGCCCATTTGATTGAAAAGAGACCTTCATCAAGCAGGGCGGCGCTTTAGGAGCACAACTCCCCCCGACTCATACCGTCCACTGGTCACACGCTCAGGACGCCAATGTTGGCCAAACCACCCACGTGGCCCTGGGCGACAAAAACGACGTCCGCTTCGTTGGGGCCCAGACCACCGGTCGGAAGGGCACGAAGGGAACGGGGCGAACTCGCCATCATCGGCCATCACTGCTTTGTGGCGTGGGTGTCTACGTTGACTCCCCTGCAGGTTAACATGGAACAAACATCCCAAAACCAGCCAAAACCACTAAGTTGTAAAGGAAAAACGGTCTTCCACCGGCCAATTCTCAGGTTCATATATGTGAGTGTGCCGGGGGTACGCAACCCGTGTTTTTGTTTTGACGTTCCCTCTTCAATTCCTGGAGGTTGGCCGCGGATGGTTCTTGAGCATTCACCAGCACATAGAAGGCCTTCGTGGCCTACCCCTACTTGCTACCCTGGGTCGAGTTTTGTTAGACGACAAGGGGATGACAAGAGAGACCAATGCCAGCCCAGCCGACCTTGCCCAACCTCTTGATCGGCCGAGGTCGTGACCGACCTCAATGTGGACGCGTGTGCCTAAGACAGTTCGGTTGTTCTGATATGTTCTGATTATGTTTGACCATCTGAGGTGGTATTCCAACAATAACGGTTTTTTTCTTGGCACTGAGCTGAATCAAAGGAATGATTGATTTAAATTACTCTTTGCCTTTAAGTATCCGTGTGTTTGTTTTAGTTATTTTTAAATAACCTTTTGTTTCTAGGGACTTGATACGGTCCGGTACCGGTATAGCAATGTTAACTTTTGTGTTTTCCCTTTACTCCACAGTTGCTTCTACCAGCAACCTTGACAAACAAATGTTGTTTTTGGTGGATTGATGTGTATTTGTTGACTTGTTTGTCAACCAAGGTGGAGTGCAAATACGACTTGCGCCTCACGCGCGTGGACTTTGGAGAGCACCTTGGCCGCCCAAGGAGGTTAGGCTGAGTGATGGAATCATGGCGCGATGGACAGGGCCATATATTAGGGTGATGCTCCCCAGATCGTTCATGAGAAGTCTCCTACCCACGCAAAGTGGATCATTTGGTTCACCAAACTTGGTGGCTTTGTGATTGGGATCCCCACTCAACCGGGCTCCGGGACGAACCAACCAGCACGACCTTCGCTTTTCCCAGCCCTTCCCAGTGTTGGGTCTCAGGACCGGACGTGTGGTCGCCAAGCTGCCCGGAGCCTCGTGGCGCTGCCGGTGTCGCCGGGCGGGCGTGTGTCTAGCGCGGGGGAAAGGTGTTGGTATAGAATCAAGGCATACATGGTCTACAAAGGTATTTTTACTGCAACTGTTTTTGTAAGCTTGCTAGGTCAGGCAGTTCTTAACATGTCTAATTGGACCCCTTCCCTATAGCCTATAGCGGCTTTATATCTGCCTATAGCATCCTGTGGTGACCATTATAGATTGCAAGAGGCAATCGAAGCGGACGGAGTATAGCTAGCTGCGAATCTGCCAGTTCGGTTCGACTTTGTGGCATTGGAAGTCATTGCTTTCGGTCAGGACAACCCTGTTCACAGCGACAGGCTCCGTTCGTAGTCGCTCGAAGCTTCGCTTGTTGAATAGACATCCGAGGCCAGGAGATCTTGGACGGCCTCACACACACACACTTATGGATATGCGTACTGACCCGACAGAGGTGCCACACGCCGGCCTGAGTGAAAAACCTAAGGAACCAGGACAGGTGTCAGTAAGTGGAGGCCCTTACTGCAAGGTTGGAGGCCAGCAAGACTCAAAACACGAAACGCGAGTAGCGATTAGTAACAAAACCACATGAACCACAATGAAAGCAAACCACAGCGAGAACAACAGGTAACCAGTTTGGCAGGTACGTTTGCACGGACCCCAGAGGAGGTCTTCGTTGGCCACCGCTCCTCTGGGGCCCCGATGGCCCCCTGCTGAAAAACGAAAAAAGAAAAAGTAGCACAATCCGACTGGATCCCTGTGACTACAAGGGGCACACACACACACTTGAGAAGGTTGCTCCGTGGAGCGCGATTTCAGGCTGCTTCGCGGTGTGCATTAGCATTTTAAGATTACTGCAGGTTAGACCTTGACTGAAAAAAAGGCTGGGTCCGAGCAACAGTATTGTTGAACAAGAATGCCAGTGAAATAGTTAAAACAATTCTAAAATGGCAGGTACGTCGATTTGGCGTCCCAAATCGATTTCACAGACCAATGCAAGTGTCTTTGTTAGTGCCAGACTTGCATGGTCCCTGGCACCCCCTGCTTCTGTACAATGGTCGCGAAAGTCCTAGGAAAAGTTAGTAAGAGCTAGTGTAGTGTCCTTGGAAACAGGAGTGGACACACACAAAAAGCCGAATCGGCGCAACTAAATCGGATCAGAAAATACCTGAAGGGTAAATAATGGAAGACCAAGACGTCGAAAAAGGAATTGTAAAGTAAGGTACTATGACTCTGCTGGCGCATCGTCTTTGTCTCGTGGCCGCAGCGCCGCGGCACAGTGTTCCTTTGAATGACCTTTTGGCATATAGAGCTGCATCAACTGCTGTGCTGTGGTAGGTGCGAACTGCTGTGGAAATGTGTATTTTCGTAGTGTGTGGTGTCGTGACTGTAAGCCTGTAAGCCTGAAAGGCGTAGTCTGTGACTCCCCGCTGACTGCGGAACATGAATCTGCCAGGGATGTGTGGGGAGTTGAAAGGTGACCGTTCTGGTGAGTGGATCAATCAGGCAACCGAGTAAATGGTCGTCCCCTGGCTCTATTTCGACTGGGTGTTCATGAAATCGGGATGGGCCAGTGTAGTGATGGGGGCGCTGATCTGTATTGTTCGTTTAGCAAGATATAGCGGGTGTCAACGGAGCGTGTGTTGAGCAAGTGAAGGCTGGGTTGGTGGAAAAAGGTGTGGTATGTGGTTTGCCAGGTATGTACGATGAGTGTGATTGCTATGTTGCAGAGTGCTGGTGAAAGTTGACTGCCAATGCCTGCTGCTTGGATTTGCTTGTAGTAAGTGTTGCAGGCTTGAAAAATGCATGATTGAAGGGCTTGTTGTACTATCAGGGGGATGTGTTGAGTGTCGAGTGTGCGTTGTTGTGGGTGGTGGATGTAGTGTCGACCGATGTGGGAGTGTTGAATGGGAGTGCCGGTGGATTGTATGTCAAGACTGATGGAAAAGATCGCGTGGGTCTTGTCAATGTAGGGTGTGAAGTGGACAAAGTGTAAAAGTGCTGTGTGAAGTGTGGTCAAGAATTGTAAAGTGAGATGTGAGATGTGTTGGGTGACGCAGCGCTTGTTGAGCGAGGCAGGCGGCTAATGCCGAACCCGCTGCCACCAGCTGCTGTAGTGAACGTGGTGGCAGCTTAAGCACACGGGTGAGCGGGATGCCATAGCGTGTGGCTGCCTCCTGGAGCTGTTCTTTGGTGATGCGTTCATCTCGAAGAATTTGCTGGATATTGGTGACTTGTGTCTGAGTGGCTGGTGGTAGTGTCTTGAGCCATTTTTTGAATGCCTGCTGCCGCGTAGTTGGCTGGTGAGTTGTCTTGTAGTCTTTGAGTGGTGGGGTTGAGAATGGTGTTAGCTGTGAGTGCGGCTGGGGCTGTAAGTGGGAGATGGGGTTGGGAAGCTGATGATGTGGCGGAGTGTGTCCCTGGTTTTGTTGGTGTAAGTGCAATGCCATGAATCTTCAATTTGTCGCGAGCTCGCTGGAGTTCGCTCTCTTGCTGGTGTAGGCGATCTGTCTGTAGCTGAAGTTTTCGGAGTGCTGTACCTTCGCCTGCGGGTGGTGTGAGGCCTCGTAGGAAGGCAATCATGCGGGAAATGAGTGGTTGCATAAATTGTTTGGCATCTGTCGTTTTGTTTGGAATGGATTGATTAGCTTGTTGGTGTAAATATTCAGCAATGTTGTCAATGTCGGTTGTGGGCACGCATCTCTGGCAACAATTGTGAGGTGAACACTGCTTCTGCGATAGACCTGGTGGTCACGATGCCAGTGGACCGTCCTTCAAAATAAAGTACGAAGGCTGTGGTCTTGTAGGCCAAAGCGACTGAGCTGCCAAGGAAAGATGTCCAAGACAGGCTGTCCTGCCAGATTGTATTTTCTGGACCATTGTGTCGGCTGGATCGTGCGGAATAATGTTTGACCATGTACTGTATTGGTGTCAAGGTGTGTGTCGCTGGGGGTCCATGTGTGTCTAGTTTCTTTTTTCTTTTTCTTCGTCTTCTTCTTTTTCTTTTTCTTTTTCTCTCTCCTGTTTCCTGCCAGGGGGGTGAAGGGGTGTTTGGGCGTGCATTGACTAAACGAGCCTGGAAAATACCTAAAAAGCCTGAAGGAAGGAACAAACGAAAAGGCAAAGAAAAGAAAAACAAGAAAAGGTGCAGGGGGTGAAGGGTGGGGTAAATGCTCTCATGAGCGAAGTGAAGCCGAATCGGCGCAGTGAAAAATTAAAAGTTGGAAAAGACTTCTCCGGTGTGAAACTGATTCAGTTGAACTCTGCAGTATATTTCAGTGAAAAATTCAGTGAACTCTGCAGTAACATTTCACGTGTGCCAGGTGAGACATTCCAATCAAGCTGATTTCAAACAGGAAAATTCAGTCGGGTAAACTTCAGAAAATCTTCAGGAAGACTTACTCCTGCGGTGAGGAGTGAAAAGGTTCTTGCAGTAACGGCGCCCCGCAGGGATCACACAGCTTACCACAGTGGGAAGAAGCTGCGAAGACACACTTGAGAAGGTTGCTCCGTGGAGCGCGATTTCAGGCTGCTTCGCGGTGTGCATTAGCACTTTAAGATTACTGCAGGTTAGACCTTGACTGAAAAAAATGCTGGGTCCGAGCAACAGTATTGTTGAACAAGAATGCCAGTGAAATAGTTAAAACAATTCTAAAATGGCAGGTACGTCGATTTGGCGTCCCAAATCGATTTCACAGACCAATGCAAGTGTCTTTGTTAGTGCCAGACTTGCATGGTCCCTGGCACCCCCTGCTTCTGTACAATGGTCGCGAAAGTCCTAGGAAAAGTTAGTAAGAGCTAGTGTAGTGTCCTTGGAAACAGGAGTGGACACACACACACACACACGCCTCCCCAAAGGGAGGCCTCTGGACGAATCCGGAATCCCTCAAACTGAACCAATCGGCCATTCGTAGAGTCCAATTCTCATGTTTGCGACTCAGTACGTCAATAAGACGTACATCCACGATAGGCGCGGACAAAGTAGTAGTAAGGCCAGGAACCTCTAGTAGCGTCAAAGTAGCAACCTAGCACCTAGTAGGAAGGCCAGGAGCCCCTAGTAGCAACCCAAGCTAAAGGTCCCGACAGGAGGGAGGGGTAGGGAGAGACGAGAAAAAGGAAAGAGAAGAAAGGAAGGTGTTCCCAGCTACGACGTATGCGTCCAAGGACACACCAAAGGAAAAGAGGAGAAGGGTTCCCAGCTATGACAAAAGCATCCAGGGACACCCAAGGAGGAAGGAAGGTGAAGAGAGGAAAGAAAGAGAAAGAAAGAGAGAGGGAGAGAAAGGGAGAGGAGAGAAAAGAAAAAAGGCAAGTGTTCCCAGCTACGAACAATCGTCCAGGGACACACCACAGAAAGAAAAAGCAAAGAAAGAAACGGGGAGGGGAAGGGGAAGGGGGGGGGACTAAGCTCGCGACAGGTTCCAATGAACCTTAAACTTGCTTTGACCGCTCTGGTCACCTTGTGCCCTGCCAAAGTGGCTGGCTGCTTTGACCGCTGCGGTCACGTAAAGGCATGTGCCAACTTGGAATTCCAAAGATGAGACAAAAATCCCAGTTCTTGTGGCATAAGCCATCTGCTGTCCGCTCCGGACACTTACATCTCCGGGCAGGGGGGATAACGACAAACCCCCGTTCGACGGGTCCACGGGAGGCACTCTACGGGCTCATCCCGGGTTGGCACGAGGCCAAACACACTTATGGATATGCGTACTGGCTCGACAGCGGTGCCACACGCCGGCCTGAGTGAAAAACCTAAGGAGCCAGGACAGGTGTCAGTAAGTGGAGGCCCTTACTGCAAGGTTGGAGGCCAGCAAGACTCAAAACACGAAACGCGAGTAGCGATTAGTAACAAAACCACATGAACCACAATGAAAGCAAACCACAGCGAGAACAACAGGTAACCAGTTTGGCAGGTACGTTTGCACGGACCCCAGAGGAGGTCTTCGTTGGCCACCGCTCCTCTGGGGCCCCGATGGCCCCCTGCTGAAAAACGAAAAAAGAAACAGTAGCACAATCCGACTGGATCCCTGCGACTACAAGGGGCACACACACACACTGAGACTGAGAGTTGTCAGGAACCAATGCATGGTTTCGCCCAGGAATTCCAGGCAAAATTGGAACATGGCCCATCTTGCTGCGCCATCCTGCCCTCCTGGCCCAGCGGTCGGACCGAGGACCGGTAGTCAAATGACCTTGCAGTTTCCCCAGCAGGGCGTGGGTCCTGGAAGCTGCGAATTTGCACAAGGCGCCCTCCGGCCCGGCCCTCCCGTCGCGCGGACGACTTTCCCGGCGATGGCATGGAAGCCGCGGTTCTATAGGGAGGAAGCGGTTCTTTGAGGCTTTGATGCCTTTCTACGGGTTAGATGGTAAATCGAGTTCAGATGGTGGACAGGGCAGGGGAGTCAGACCTGGAGGATTCATTGATGTTTTTGCACTTTGTTATATATTTTTATTTGGCCAGAAGAGTTCATTGCTCATGTGGCACCGCATGCTGCATTGCAATGTGATTCCGTATCCTTCAAGATGTGGTGGAGGCCCCTTTTTGTGCCTTTTTTTGGGTGCCCAGTCCATCCCAGTCCAATCTTTTTCGCTTGAGCCCACCAACACATACAAACAGTGGATAGACCTGCATTCTGAGGTGGCTAAACAGGAATGTGTACCATGCCATAGATTTATGATGATTTCATAGATGGAAGATACCACCCAACGATGCTCGCGCTTATGGCTACAGTAGATGGAATCCTCCAGACCGTCCTCGACCGTCGCAGCTTCGGACCACTCCGCTCTCCAGGCCTGGACTTAGATATCCGGGAGGTGCGGAGATGGGCGGTGGGTGTAAACATCTCAAAAGCCTCATATGAAGATGTGTTGATTACGCTTCAATTATATAGTGTGGGCCTGTTCTTCAACAGTCTACGTGAAGAAACCTAGCAGTTTGACATAGCTTGACCTTTGTGGGGGCGACTAGGCATTTCCACTGCCATGACGAGGCCATTCCGGCATACAGCATACAGACACATGACTGTGAAGAGTTTTAGTGGCCGTACTGAACAGACTCTGAACAGATGATGAAGACTATATAGCTGCTTCCAGGTTTCAGTGGAATGGGCTGCAGGGATGCACATTTCTTGAGCAGGGTTGGGTGGGATGGTGGGGGCGACATGCAGCGACCGATGCGGGTCCCAAAGCATGACCAAATGGGTAGGGGGTAGCGGATGGTGGCGGATGTTCCTGAATCACCAACTATACTGGCTACTATGGTCCTGTGTTCTATCTCGAGTCCCTACAACTTGCAATAACTCAATAACTTGCAACTGTCCAGTCCAGATTTTTTTGGGGAGGTTGTCCGCAGTTGGCACTTGGACAGCTGGCTGCAGCAAAAGTTGTTCAGGGTGAGCCACTCGATTTGGCTTAATCAATGTTAAGGATGACATTGAGAAGATCGATATAATTCTCCAGTGCAGGTTTGGTGCACAGAAGGTTCTCTTCGCTTTGTTTTCTGGATCGGGCGCGGAGGTTGTGGGTGGGTCGGCGCAGGTAGTGAGTGACCGTGATGCCATCAATGCAGCTTAGCAGAGCACGTGGTTTGAGGATGGGATGTCAGAGCAAGTCGCAACTGATTGGAGGTGTATTATACACTGAGGACTCGGGCTCTCACCCTTGCTATAGTTGTGCTAGTGGAGAATGGACAAACTCTTGCAGAGCGGCAAACCTATAGAGGGACTTAACCCGGTGGCAGGACCTTGGTTTGCGGAGTGTGCCGCTAGACGAAAACATCACTAGTCCAACATATTCCAAACACCTTCGACCACAAAACCAAAAGGCCTTTCTCACTCATCAACATGTGGTTTTTATGGTGGTGGAAGCGTCCCAATTGATTCCCGAGAGGTGGATCCCAGCCTGACTGGTAGAGGAGAAGGCGATCCAATGCGATCCATCACTTCAGGCGATGTTTATTTCGATCTCTTCAAGATAAATGTAGAATCATACGTATATCAAGAACCAGGTCACCAGAAGATATGTGAAGATCCCTTTTGTATCGGAGCCATGTCCTGCCACAGGCACAGAGCCAAACGGATAGTGCCTCAACACATCACAGGCACTATCACCATACCTAGCCACCACACAGGCTTTATTGGAGTGGCGCGTCTGCACCAGCGCACAGCAATGTGTGGCGCCCTTATTCGTTCTTGCTCACCAAGGGGATATAACAAAAGGCCCTTGCCAGCGTTAGGACACGGTTTACCTTTCTTTAACCCCAACCGCTCGCAGTGCTTGCAGACTGGGACCCTCCAACAAGAATTGGACATATTACCTTGACATACCTTGACAGTATTTGCAGCCGGTGATGGTTTCCATGCCATAGATACAACCACTTGTTGCGAAGACAAAGCACAGGTCGACGTTTGAAACGGTGGATGTCCCCGTTGCGTCAGACAGGACGCGCTAGAAATGGCAACTGGGATCCACTTGATCCACTGCAAGTTCCCCATCCAAGAGGTGTGACCTGTGATGGCTTGGAACAATACACCGTTGGATGGCTTGATGGCTTGATGTGCCTTTGTATACACAGGTGTATTGTATGGACCTGTTCCAAGTTCAGCTTTGACCTGTGCCGTGACGTGCCTTGTTCGCGTGCGCTGCGTGCACCTCATTCGCGTCTGAGGTGGAGATCGGAAACATCTTGACGCTTGGGCCAGAAATTGGGGTCGGCAACAAGGAAGGTCGGGAATGAAGAGATCTTTTTGTTTTTTTGGTTGGGGGAGCAGTCCAAAAGACAAAGGGCTCCTATAGGTTCCTTTCAAAAAGTTAGGGCTTGATAGTTCCTATTGTATACGGCATACGGCAAGATTTAGAAACCAATTGGGCCATAACTGCAACCAAAGTGCCAAGTCTATTCCAGGGGATAACTGACTGGGGGAAGGTGTTGATCAGGTCCATCATTTTAAATCATCAAATTCACTGATTAATTCTACCGACATACTTATATACTGCAATTCATTTGGCAGAGCATGGTAGGTTGGTTTAGCACAGTTGCCTTCTGACTCGCTTTCCATGGAAGTAGATGGCATCCTTTGCGACACGGCGGTTTCCACTTACTGTACATGTTAGTGAGTCGGAGCGTCAGTGAGGGCAGCTTCCAACGATATCCGCTGAATTCCCTGCTGCCGGTGAATTGGCCAGTCTTCGAAAACCGGCCCAAAGCTTGGGGAAAACCAGTTTAGACCAAACCCAACCATGAAGAGCATCATCAACAAACCGACAATTTGCGAACATGAAGACCAATATGAAGAAAACAAGAAAACACACAAGTAGCCCCCCAAAATGCCCATGGTCGTGGGCAGTACCTTCTCATTTGACCGTGACCTCCCACCCCCACGCGGTTTTCCTCCGCTTTCCGGGCTCGATCCGTGGCGCTCGGTCCCATGGCGCTCGGTCCCATGGCGCTCGGCCCCAGGCGTGGGAACCTCATGGGGATCCGCTCCGAGATCGTCCGCTCCATGGAGGAACGTCCGCTCCGGAACTCGACGGGTGGCGGTGGAGGAACGGGGGATGGGATGTTCGATCCTGAAATCCATCCCCGACAACGACATGTGTTGTAATGAGTTATCAGTTGTCAGTTATAATATACTGAACGACTAGTACGTACGACTGATCCAGATTTCACTGGTGTTTGTGTGTTTTTGTTGGTCTCGATGTTTGATGTTTGAAGGGTAGCATGGTAGATGCTTCACAGATACCCGGACAGTTTTTCTATCAACCATCCGTTCTGGGAGGTGGCTTAGAGAGATGGTTTGCGAACCAGATCTCAGCTTCAGGCCATCCCGCATGCTTTGCAGGATGGCCTTTGTCGAAACCTTTTGGCTCCCTCAATGGGGTCCGCTGCCCCGGAATCTGTGCGGTTGGAGCGCGAAACGCCGCGCGGTTCGTTTGGATGTGTTGGCAGAGGTTTCAGAGACCCATGCCATTGGTTGGGGTGTGTAACTTGAGAACCTTTCTAAGGTGCAATTCACCAAATCCCAGTGGTTCAGAAGGATCCGGTCGTCGTGTGGAGAGGGGTCACAGTGAGCCTTCGTGGGGGGTGCCACGTTCGCGAAAAGAAAGAGGGAGTTCCACCCTGAGACGTCTGGCATCCTAGAGTGCCAGCCTTCTAAGAAGGCAAGCAACTGACTCCCAAGGTGCTCAGCTGCTCAGCTGGAACCCGCAGAAACCTGTAAACAAACCCTAGACTTCCTTGATTTCAATAGGTTCAATTAGTTTCACTATATAATAGAAAAGTTGCTTGGTTGCTATTGGATCCATTCCAGGACTTGATCACTGACTGCAACGCTTTCGTAGTGGTCCTGGTGTTGTATTGTTCCTTTCTCCGTCAGGGTGGTGAGTTTTACATATGCTTACCGATCAGGACGTGCCCAGTACATCTTGTCTCAACGCGCAGCGTGCGCTCTAAAGATCAGTCCAGGGCGAGAACGAGGCATCATTCGAAGAGTTACCCGGCAGACCCGCCCCAATATGTTGGAACAACCAAAAGGTGGCACAATCACCAAAAGGTGGTTATATGGATCCCCATCTAAAAGACATCTTGGGGTTTGTGCCATCTACTTTGGAACCACTGTAATCATCAGGAATCATCTGGAACAGGACCCCAAACAGGCGACTCCGAACCTTCGAGTGTGAGCCTCTGCACGACCCGAGGGGTACCTCGGGGCTGAATCTTCCCATGGCCCCAGCGCAATCCATGTGGCCTTTGGTGATAGGCGCCGTGAGGGTCGAAGGAGAGTGGCCAAGGGGGTGGATGTGAACCACGTGGCGGGATGAGACATGAGAAGCAGTGATGGATCAGTGCAGGTGGGTCTCATCAGTGACAAGGGATGACAAGGGGCATGAAAGGCCACAGGAACTGAGCCCCCAAAAAACAGGTTCAGAAGAAAGAATGCATTTGGGGTCCCGACCTCAGTAATCCGATCCAACCAAACCCCATTGAGAGATCAAGTGCACTAAAAACGAGGTTCTGCGGCATGAGGCTGAGAACTTCTTTGGTGATTCAGATCTGGAAGTGGCCTTGCCGGAGTCTTGTGAGTTGAACTCAACCCAGATGGGCTGAACTCCTGAGTCGCTGATTCTCGGCAAACCCTGATGGGTCAGGTATAGGTAGCTAGTTGCTTGAGTGGTGGGTGGGTGTGCATGTTCACGCACTTTTGATTGTAATCCACCTATGATGATCATGGTTCTTTGTCTATCTCCACCTTTCTCTCTCTCTCTCTCTATTAACTATTATATACTATATATTAATTATACATATAACTATACAATTGTATAATATATATATATGTATATGTGTGTCTATACGCAACGGTTTGACCTCAGATCTCCCTTAACCTGGCCACGGCCCCCCACCTTTTTCCGAAGACCGGCATCTAGAGGCATCCGCATGCCAGGGGCCACACTAGGCCAACAATTGGATTTATAGAGGGAAATGAGCAGAACAGCTCAACCTGGGCAATCTCCCGTGGTCTCCTTCACGTCGCCTTTTTTCGGGCCTCCAGGTCTCCTTCAGGTCGGACTGTAAAAAGAGGCTAGCTGGGTGGCTGCGCCATGGTAGATTGACCATGCCATGCCGGAGCCCGGCTTTACTCAAAAATTTGTCTGAAAGGTTTTGTTGACTTCAAGTTGACTTCATTAATTGCACATGGTGCCCCTGTCAATCAGGCTGCTGACAACACTACTGGTTACCAATGGCCGGCATTTTGTTTCCTTTAAGACCTGCGGATCTTCCGCTTTGCAGCTTCCCGGGTGTCCAGGCTCAGTGCTGGCGTTGATCCTGCTGTTGTGCGGCGCTTTCTTTCTTGGTCGCTGCAGCGTTCAGGAGATCGACCCAGTTGGACATACCCGGCCGTTGACGTTCGGGATTCAAGGTCCAAGACGTTGGTTTTTTCTTTGGGGGTCTGACTTTTCCCAACCATACGTCTCAATATGTTCACATGCGTAATTTACTTTGAATGAGACCGTTCAACGGTAGACCTTGGATGGTTCAGAACCTCATCAACAAAGACACGTGCCAGACGTGTAATTAAGTCTTCTCGTGGTTTCTGCGTTGTAGCCTTTGTAGGATGTTGTGTCCTTGCTCAGCAAAGGCCGTGGGTCAAGACCGGACACCGGTCCCATCAAGATAAACAATAACTTTCCAGGGAAGGATCGCTTGGTTTTCAGTGTTTTGATTCACCAACTGGGAAGACAGATGCTTGGCTCCAACGGTGGGTTTGATGGGGCTCGACAGGGCTCGACATACGATCAGGTCTCCCTGTGGCCTTCAAAAAAATCACCACCTCACAGGTGGGTGGGATCGTGATGCCCTTTATTTATTTCACAAGCGGTGAGAAGTTTTAACTTGAAGTTTGCTCAAGGGCACTTGAAGTTTTAACTGGAGAATGCATCTTTTCCACCCAAACAATTGAATGCATTAGGTCAAACAGAATCAACATCAAGAATCATCAAATAACAATGTTTGTCGAAGTGGGCGCTGTTCACCAACGGCACCACAAAGCGAATTGTATAGTATACTTTTGTGGTTCTGGATGCTTTGCATGAACTCAATTAGACACCATAGAGCCTTTGGGTTTGCTTTCAGCTACATCGGGGACCCCCCAAAGAACTGCTGGCACAAGAGGAAACAGATTGGCAATATGGAAAACCCCTGGGCCTCCCCAATTCACACACAAGTGGGACAAGAGCGATATATTAATTAAATTGAGATTATTGAGAGCATGACGATCATGTTTTACACGACCCCTCAACGACATAGTCAAGGAACTTATTCCCCCATCGTTGTAAAAGGATGCACGTACTGGTCTCGCAGCGGTCTGCGACAGCGCCAGGACTGGTCTCGCTCTCACAAAGTGAAGCGATCCTTAGGGCCCTTGTTCTCCTCAGAGGAGGACCGACTTCAGCACCGGGGCGGCATGCGTCTGCCCACCAGATGATAGCAGGTGATGGAGTGTTTGTGGGGCCAAAGGGGATCAGAAGAGGTACTGTTCTTCTTTTTCTTCTTCTTTTGCTTCTTCTTCGCAGCTTATCGGAGCCAGGACGAGGAGACCGGGTCTGAGTCCTGCGACAGCATCAGGAACAGCAACAGCCGGGCGATGGCGCCCAAGCAATGGGACAATTTCTATGCAGGGAGAGCTGTGACAGGTGATTCATATATGCAGTCTATAATTAATTGGGAGTGATGGCTGGTGGCTTGAATTGGAATTCCATCAGGCTCCCATCGTGGGAAGAGCCACGACATACATAAGTCTCGCGTGTTTTTGTTCGAAGTGATTCCTTCATATTCCTTCAGGAAAACCCATGCCTGGGGGCCTGGACATTCGAAGTTCCTGGAAAACCCCCTGAAAACCGCCATGTAAAAACATGTAAAAGCATATTTCAACCAGATGGTCGCACCGTCTTTCGGGGGCCTTTTCTCACCGTTTTGGTGGTGGACCCAGCATGGAATTGGAAGCTTGTGTAAGCTGGTTGTGGGAACATGGGTCTTCAATGATGTTCATGCCCATTTTTCCCCAGTGACTTGGGGGGACCATCCTAGCCGCCCCAGCGAACGGCGGGTTCCTGGGTTGGCGCCACGACCTTGGCAACGGGCGGGTCCGCGGCCCGTTCGGACCGAGGACCCGGAACCAATCCCGAATGATTTGAGGAAGCGGTCGGCCGGTGGGGGGAAAAGAGACATGAACAAATACGCACACATGGACACACTCATTTATTTATTTATCTAATTTATATATAACTATATATATATAAAACCTGGGTAGGCCACATTGGAGGCGTGTGCTGGTCCTTTTTGTCATTCGTGTGTAGGTCAAGTATAGATTAGTGAATTAGGGATTTGAAGAAGTCCTTTGACCCTAGGGATCCAGTCGTACCTTCTCAGATACGGTGAGAGGGATCAGACTGTTATGTATAGGTGTCAGGAGTGTCCAGTCGTAGCGAACCTGAGAAGGTACGAATGGATCCCTAGGGTGACGTGGGAAGTGCGTCTCTTCCTTGTCTCATTGGGTTGCAGGTCCCGGCTCATGTGAGGGCGCCTCCACTAGAGATTTCAACCGGTTCCTCCAGTTGATTTCGGAGTAGAGGTAAGTTGCCAGGGTTTCAGGTACACTCTGGTAACATGGAAGTGGGTGGGATGGCCCCTTGAAAGACGACGTTCCTTTCCAAAAAGGGGGGTGCAATACTCGCTTCCATGCCATGTGTTCGTCGGTTCGTGTGTTCTCTCTTCACTTCATCCCACTTCGCCACCTGCACCGCTTCGACCACTTCGCCGCCACGTGCAGCGTGGTCGAAACACGGACGACTGGGCAAACACGGTCGATCTTCCACGCCATGAGGCCTGAAGACACCGGCGAAGCTAGCTAATGGCATTCTCATTTCAAAGAATTGCGTGTTTCGGCAGAAACTGATCACTCACTGCTTGTTGACTGCTATCGTGAGAGCCAACAAGAACCCCAAAACACAGTTTCTTGCAAGAAGTCTGGTTTTACATGAATGGAGATCCATCAACTCTGCCGAAATCCTCGCTGGGCAGCCCGCGCGCCATGCGCGCGAGCCTAACAGGGCCCGTCGCATTAAAGCCCCCATAGTTTCAGAGTGTCAGGAGATACATTCCTGACGCGGACGATCCGGTGGCGGAAAAGTGGATCGGATGGGTACGGGAGCGGGTACCAGACCGGGCCTGCAGCTTAATTAGACAACTTGCAACATGTAGACAATTCATGTGCAGATTTTCAGCAACCGCCAAAACGTGCGATGACTGATGATGACTAATGATGCTTTAATTTAGTAAAGAGTGGTCGTTAATTTATGTTAATTCAGGAATTTGCTAAAACCTGCAAGAGCAATAGGCCCCGTTCACAAGCGAGAACCATACCACTGCAGATGTTTGATATGTGCAACTATATTGACATTGTGGCTACATTCTTCAAAAGCGATGGCCCCCCATCAAAAGCTATAAGCTTGCTAAGTCATATGAGCATGTCCTCTACTTGACAGATCTTGACAACACGTTTTGGGACACTCATAGAGCAAACATGGTTTTCTATGTGTTTGGGATCAGAAATCACCAGCTACATCATCCTTGGTGGATGATTGACAAGCGCCGCAAGCGCCGTTCGACCCAGCGACCTTCGTTTCTACTGCCTGATTTGAAACGGCCGCCTGAAAAGGCCATGGACAAATGCCTTGGATGCATCGAGACACCATGAGTCAGGCTTCCCTGACATCGGATAGGAGCGGACGTCAGCTCAGTACCACCGCATGCCACAGCTCAAGCGATTGTTCGTGCTTTCAACTCCCACCGAGCCCCCCAGACCACCACGAAGAGCATCGTTCCCACTGCACCGAGCGACGCGACCATGGACCTGCCCCTTCGACTGCCACACACAAACGTGAGGAGGGACTTGGCATAGGACGGGCTGAAAAGGATTATGGAACCATGAACTGAAGATAAATTGGGCAAGCATCCCATGAAATTTCCTGCAGATGAAGAGAAAACTAACCAACCGAACTAATCCACATATAAAGACATATGGAGATGTAAACGACCATCCAGCTGCGGTAGCTAAATGAACCAACACCCTAGAGCTCCAAGTACCTTCTAAGAAAATCTAAGAAGGTGTTTGGGGTGGGTTTGGAGGGTCCAAGTACCTTTTGAGGAGGTACTTGGAGCCCTAGGGACAGTATAATCAACAGTCGACAGATCGGAGTTTGTTGAGGTGATGTTATTTCTTTGCTTAAGGTTCTGCTTTTTGTGACAGCTGTGACCTGGGGTGGCACAAGGTCATTCTTTCTTCTGCGTCCTCTGAGTGCAGCCCTGGGTGTAGATACGTTTCCTATTCGGGACTTGCATGTGCAGGGTAACACCACGCAGTATCCGAATGATTCTTGCCCTTTGGCGCCCCAACTCACTGGTTTGGTTTCAGACAAGGAGGTGCAAACATGTGCTAACCCTAACCATGGTTGCCAAAACCCAAACTATACATTCCAACGCACTATCTCCCGAACCATTTCGCCGAACCTTGAAAACCGTTTCGAGGAGGTACAAAGAAAACATGCCTTTCGGGAACAAAGCAGAACTCAGTTCTTCGATGCCGATGCTTCCAGCAGGTCCGATGCTTCGCAGCTTCTCGTTGTGAATCCGGACGACCGGTCCGGTCCGCAGGCCGCGAGCAGCGGCAGCGCCTGTGGTGCCTCACGCGCACGCGTCACGCGGGCCGCAGGCAAGGCACGCATGCGCATGAAACATCATGGACCAGTGGGCGCCTCTAGTGGCTCTAGCATAGTGTTTGCCAGGTCGAAGTTTGTTGCAGTGTGATGGGCGGGTTCCAGTGGGATGTAGCGAAGAGGGAACACACTCCGACGAACACATGGCATCGAAGCGAATGGCACCCCCTTTTCATCAGTAAAGGCAGGTCAGGTCGTCATTCAAGGGGCCATGCCAGCCATTGCCATCCACATCACCCACTTCCATGGAATGAGTGTCGTCATCGATGTGGAGTGTGGGAGGCGCTCCCTGCACTCTGACAGGTCTTTGGTGCCGATCACTGGATCGCAGGCAGATCCGAAAGCAAGTCAGGTATTGTACCAATGTAGCAGTGGCCCATAGTAGCCGTGAGTGGCTGGGGTGGAACATACGTTTGGTCGACATATATGTCAAAAGGTTTTGTTTGCATTTTGGCTTGTGAGGTTTTTGTGTACTGTATAGAATATACATGTAGTGAAGCTTCTTGTCCAACAATGAATGTGTGTTTGCCACATTGCATGGGATGTTTTTGCGAGAAAGCATGCAGTTCTCCATGTGGCCAGACACAAGGTTTTGACGTCATTGTCAACGTTGACTGGAGGTTTTTGCCTCGTGGGCGGCCTTTGTTTGCAAGGCGCGTGGCCTAGAACCTTGTTCCAGCGCTCTTACCCCAAAGACACCCCCAGTGGGTTGAGGGACTACCTTGCGATTGTGCGCACTTGCACCTTGGAGGCCAATGGACATCATGATAACTGCAACCTTTCTCGAGTGGGGATTTTATAAATATTGCATCACGCCTGGTTTATTAGAAACTGTTTTGTATGTTTGGCTAATGAGTTTAGGGCGGCATGCTCGGATCTGGGGTAGCATGGCCCGCCTTTGCTTAGCAAAACGGCCAGCCTCAAGCAGATGGGGCACTGCTGACCAATGATTCCAGCTGTCACCGCCACCGCCCTAGCGACAGGGTCACTTCCATCCCTCCAGGGGGTTAGCGGGGTTAGTTATATATATATATATATTTTTTTAAATATTAATAAAACTAATTAAAAGAAATCCTTGCTTTGGAGACCTCTCAGGGGTATAGTCAAGCTGAGTCAAGCTCAGGAGGGGAATTTGATCCAGTATTTGATCCCAGATGGAATGCACGAACCCTGGAATCATCGAAGTGGACAACCACTGAAAACCACCGGTTGGGGGCGGAACATAGATGCACATGGTCATCATGTGGGGGCCATGCCATCCATGCCACCATGAGAATGAAGACGGACATGTAGAACCTGGGCCCCACGTTTTCCAATGCTTGCCGACGCTACGCTTGCCACGGTTTCGCTTTCCGATGCTCACCTCGGCCGTGGATGGATGGATTTTGCCTCGCAGTTGGGGCAAAAGAAACGAGAAAGAATGTTACCCTCCGGCTCACACACATGGAAGTGGAAAATGGAAATGGACCCTTGGATGACTATGTTCCTTATGAACGGGGTGGTTTGTTCCATGTTAAAGTTAGTGAGTCGGAGTGTACTTTCTTGGGGGGTTGCCTTTCGGGTGCCTTTGTTTTTTGCCCAGTCTGCCGTGATCTTTGCATGGTTTGTTGGGATTTCTCATGAGTTGACTCAGTAGTGCTCCCCCATATATGTTTCAGGAACCCGGTAAGAGAAATGGCACTTTTCCTCTTCCAGAGGCTCATTGCTCCCGGCGCGTTCCATCTGAGCGGGAAGGGACCTGATCGGCCTCGTGTCGCCGGCAGGGTGGCGGGGCCATCTACGCGGTGCCAGGTGGGGGCACGGTAGGAGCTGCAGGGTTCGGTCATGGATGATTTCGTGAGAACATGTATCACGAGAAGAAGTGGTTGAAGGCTGGGTCATGGTAGTTCTGCAAACCTCAAGGTGTTTATGAAGATGTCGAGCAAATTGCGCAACACTTGATGTGGGGCCACACTCAGCTGCCAAGGGCGCGTGGCAGTGATTCGTGCAAGTCGCGCGTGGCCTCCGTTTGGCGCGCAGCCTGCGGCCCAGCAGGGGCACCTAAGGGGCGTTCCCAGTTGAGGGCCCTTGCAGGCAGGTCAAGATCAATGGTCGAGCCAATTTGACCTTTGAACATGCAAGATCACCAGAACGGTGCCATCAGCTGGTTTCTTTCCGTTCATTGCTGAACGAAGAGATGTTGCCTTTTTTGGGGGTGGACGGAATGTAAATGCATGATGTTGACGTCCTCGAAACACCTCAGAACCTCACCAGTGCAAGACGATACGTGCACCTGGCCTCGTTGGCCCCAAAGCTTCTTCTCGCTGTGGGCAGACACCCAAAAAACGGATAGAATTCGATGGCCTAAAGATCTTGGGACACTGTCTTGTGCCCGAGTGATCCCGTGTGGGTATGCCGCTGGTTCGATGCGTCCTCGGCGAACTCCGATACCTCCCCCGGCGGCGATGGTCGGTGTGGCAACACTTGGACCGGTAGCCGGTCAGTGGATAACCATGAACCATGGATGCCTTTTGTTCCAGGGAAACCCGACAAAGTCCGTTGAAGGATGTGGAGGGTTTTCAGTACTTGAGGGACACTATGACATGAGGCTTCATGGTGCACTTTGTGGGCCGCACCGTGGCCGTGAACATCGCGTCGATCGCAAGAAGTCTGCAGCCTCACAGGTGCAGGACGGCGACACCATCGCAGTGGTGGGCGCGGGCGGGAATGTGTCGCACCAAGATGGAGGGGGGCGGCTACTTGGGTGGCTCAAAACCAGCCGTCTTCCACAATCTTATATTCCTATATATATATAATATTATATATATACCCCTAGGTTCATCAAGCGAGACAAAGTCAACCGTCAACCATGCAGATTGTCCCTGTATCCCTGTGCCGGCATGGCTCAAAAACAGGAAGTCAAGCTACCTTAAACACTGACGAAAGCCATCATGTTCTTGCTGTGATCTTCTGGGCATCCTTTTCTGAAAGACATGAAGCACAGCAGACTTGTTACATTGATACAGGGGCCGTTGTTCGATGCGGATGGGCTTTGGTGTCGTTCGTGTCGTTGCAGCAATGCTTTTTCTCAGGTGCTCGAGTGTTCATCGGCTGACTTGCTGGAGTTGACATATTGCATACAGCTGTCTGAAAGAACGTCACATCCAGTCCCAGTCACTCTCAGACCTTCAACTGAGGATTGGTGACAAACTAGTAATAAAGGTTTACCCTGGTGATCCGGAAAACTTGGGTGTTCAGCCAGAACGTGAATTGGGTGCCTTAGCAAGGAGCTTTCGGAAAAAAATCGTCGACATTCCTCCGAGCCACGACACAGACAGTCTCTCCAATGTGTGCCTCAAAAGTGGAACCAAGCATCACAAGCTATCATTATTGCCCTGGGCAGGATCAACAGGCAGTCGCTGCTTCCGCAGTGGTTTCCGCCAACCAGAACGAACAGAGACATTCAGAATTGACATACTTAGGACATGTTGGGACCCCTTGCAGTTGCAGGTATTTCTTTTACATTATGCGAATTTATGCGATATTCTGCGGTATTTGTTCAATATTTTACAGATAGACGAATGAACAAGGGCGTCCCTCCACCGAAACCGGGCGATGGGCATCCTCAACCTGTCAGAGGCGGCTTGAAGTAATCCCAATTCATTTTGGGATCTTTAGGGGTATCATATGCTATGATATTGCATGGTTCACAGATCCAGTGTTTTTTGTCCAGGTGATTTTTTCGATGGCCGTTCTTGGTTTTGGCCAACATGGCCGAGTTGTGATGCCCAAAAGTTTGCTTCAACTATATGTTCAACTGCAGTCGTGGAACCCTTTGATTTCTGCTTGGAAGCTGGTCGCCATTGGTGGCGGTGTCGGATGTTGGTGCCGCTTTCTCTTGGAATGGAAGATCCTTTGCACGCGTTACTAAGAAGGCAGTGGAAAAATGTGGAAAATAGCCCCCTCGGGGGAACATGTCCTCCACAAAACAACCGCGGCGGTCCACTTCCATGTAATTGAGTCCACTTCCATGGGAGTGACCAATCACGACGTTGAAACAGATCACCGCAAGGACCGCAACCACCGATTTGTTGGTGTTGAAAGGGATGGCACAGGGTGTGGAGGCAACCGGACCTCATACTAACACAGGTCACTAGGACAATCTGGGACGTGTTCTGAACATGGGGCTTTGTTGATCTTTGTTGGGCGATTTGTTTGGTAGATGCATTCCATTTTCCATCCATGATCTTTGGAATACGTCCTAGCATCACCAGCAGTGGATAATTCTGCATGCTGAATACATATGAACACATGGAAGTTTATTGACAATCATGGATGGGTATGCAACTTCCAGTGTTCATATGTACACAAACCACCCAACTTTCAGTTTATGTTTACATGAGACCCTATCCGTCTCGCCCGACGGACTTCGCGTCCGGCTTTGCAAACGTCTGGACGTCCGGCCGGCGCGTCCGTCAGTCCCCGGACTCTTCGGGCTCAAAAAACCCCGAGACCGACCGCCCGTGTGCTTCGCCTGAACCTGGCAGAACAGGCCATGGTAGCCTGGCAGAACGTGCCATGGGTGTGGATGTTGGGTGTGGATTTGCTTGCTGGAGAGTGGCCTCAAGTAAGTAGAGTGACCACTCAAAACTACTCATCAATCTCCCTAAGAGGCAGCTCTCATACAAGTTTGCATGTCATGTAAATGTATGAACTCCGGCTTCACTCCTTCTTACTGTATCGGAGATCACTTCATGGTGGTCATAAGTCACATGCTTTTCTCCATAGCCTATCCCACAATAGAACCACACCTGCGGTCGACTTGGAAGCCATTTCACCACGGTCCGTCCGCACCGGGACGGTCCGTCCGTCTTCCACTGAGGCTCAACCGGGCATGACGGCCGCCACGGATCCCAAGACGGTGCGAAGCGGCTCCCATGTCCTTTGATTTGGGGAAGTTGCGTGCATTGTGCATTGGATAGATTGTGGGTGAATCTGTCAATCCGGTGTATAATGCCAACAGCCCTGGGAAATCACCTAATCCAGACATCCTCCTTTTTTGTGCAAATCGCCCCGCTGAAAGTTCTTTGGCGCAACGTGATTGCTCTCGAAAGCCCACTCTGTGGCACCTCAAGATGGCTCACATCCGACACCCCGCCAAACCTGACCGAAGATTCCTCGCTTTCCGCTTTCCCTTCAGTGCCGGGACTTCCAGCGCCACACGCCAGGAGCTGAATCACTTTTGCCAACGCTATTGCCAGCGGCCGGTCACCAAAGCGGTGTCTTGGCACCGAGACCGAGGGAACCGGTCACCCTCGAGAACCAGGAGAGCGAATTGATGTGTTGGGAATTGAGGAAGGAACACCCTGTGAACCTGATTTTACTACACATCATATGTGACATAAACTGACAGTAATTTACATGATTTGTTGTGTCCCTGTGGTTGTTGATCACTACCTTTGCAGCCGGCCGGCACCGGTTTTTGACTGAGCATGTGTGTGTGTTGTTTGGATAGTGCTCGGGTTCATCCACATGAAAAGACTCCGCTGGTGGCCCCCCGCAGAATTCAACCTTGCGCCGTTGCAACCAAAAACTTTCGTTCAATCCTGGATGATGGATAGTCCAGTCATATTGGATAGTCCAACTTAAAATAGCCTCCGATCGGGTGCCCAGGATATTTCATACACGACCAACAAGTTTGGCAATCAGTGCTTGGCTCAGTTCCACATGCGCGGCTAGAGAAGCACTGAACAATGCACCAAGAGAATGTCATGAGCTTGGGATTGAGAAGGAAAGGACTCCCAAGTGGCTAGTTTGAGTCATCAGAGGCTCTTTGTTTCAGTCTTTGTCTCATGTTGCAGGTACCAGAGCATCGTAAAGTTGGATTGCATTCAGGCCTGGTTCGAGCACTCTTTGGGATGAAAATTTGAAGTGTTCGAACTCAAAATTGAGGGAGGGGGTTTTTGAGGCGAACAGTCCGGAGCCCCCATCGTGGAGGGAATACATATGTTTGTTCTCAGAGTTGTTCTGCAGCCTCATGTCATACCCATTCGATGTACTGGCAGCTTTGGCAACCCTGTTCCTTCAAAGGCTCAATTTCAACCAAAACCATCACAGTAAACAGACAAAAAGGGAGCCAGTTGTCGAGATTGTGTGGGTCTAGAGTCTAGATTTTTAGGAGCCTTGGACCATTGGATATGTGATGTGATATGACATGTATCCACGTCTTTGTAAGTCTATGTGTGGGCGATTCAGTCAAGGGGTGCCCTCTTGCAGGGCAGTCTTTGGATCCAGTGCTTGGATTAACGTCATGTTCTCCCCGCCAGGGCCAAGAGTATGCCGGTCACTTGTGCCTGAACCAAAAGGAGGCTGCCGCCTGGCGCAAAGTAGATATGTGTGGGGGGTTGGATGGCTGCATACAATAGGAAAAAGCTTATAACAGCAAGGGCACAAGATGACTCTTCCAACTTTCTTGGGTATAAGATGTAGGGTTTTGCTTCAGTGCTGGAACTGACCAGGTGGGTCGACCAGGTGTGTAATTATACAGTTTATTGTTAAGACAATTGAACATGTGGTCACACTGCGAATGCTGGCACAGGAAGGGGGAGAATTCTACAGGAGTGGTGCTCAACTGGAAGGTGCCGAACACTGGCAGATCCAGCCCAAACAATTTGGCACGGTCGGGAATCTGGCGCTTGGGGATCATGGGATCCACTTAACATTGATCTGAAGGAACAGATCAGAACAGAGAGAGAGAGGGAGAGAGAGAGAGAGAGAGAGATATATATATAAACAAAAAATCGATCCCTGACCCATCACGTTGGGAGCTGTCTTTTTTTGCTCCGCTGCGTCGAAACACCGCAATTGGTCGGCACCACAACGAATACCTGGGCCTTGGCGGTGTGGGCAGGGCCAACTGCTCTCCACGTCGTTTGGCAGGTCCGCCAGGCCATCAATCCAATCCGGCAGCCTTAATGGACATGTGAGGGTGACTCGTATGCGGAGCCCAATTTATCCCGACGAAGTGTACAGTTGACTGGGAGCAGACAGTGGAGCAGACATGCAGAGATATGATGATTCATGAGTCTGTTAGTCCAGGCACCAACGCCGGGGTTGCTTTGGTCATCCCAGCGGTTGCTTTCAGAGATGGTGACCATCCCTGCATAGGGGTCGTCGGCTCATGAACATCCCCAGCAAGTGCAGGGAGAACGCCCCACCCGGCGTCTCCAGCTCCAGGGGATCCTCCAACCTGCTAGCTTCTTGCTACTAGTAGCGATGGCCTCCAACCTACTAGCGACCGGAGTCTGCAGCTCCAGGGGATGTCTGGAGGAGTTTTCTCCGGAGCCATGTGGCGTCTCTTGAAATACCGCCTTTCTCTGAGGAGAAGTCCGCGGCGGAGCAAGCAGTCATGGCCTTCCGCCCGCAGATGGCCTCACTTCCTCCACCAGCATCCAAGGTGGGCCGAAGTGGCGGGGCTGAGGGGTGGGGAATAGTTTTCAAGATGTTTCAAGGGTTTGTAACCTTCTACTAGCAATACTATGAAATACCATATAATGTCTCTCAAGAGGGGTCACGTTGGATTTGTTTCAACCGTGAGGGAATTGAATCAGTCATTTGTCGTGTTTGCCTCACAGCAGGTCAACCTACCTTAATGCCAGCAGCTGGCGATGATTTGATCGATCCAGTGGCAAGATGTGGCCCAAAAAACATCAAAAAACACGAACTCGCC